GGCAAGTTTGTTCAGAGGTGGATTGCCTTTGCCTTTGAGCCTCGGCAGACGGCTTAAAAAGCCGTCCTCGAGGCAAGGAAGGGGATGTATAGCCGCACGCTCAGCGCCCCTTCCTCCTCCTGAGGTTGCCCTCGGAGCTGCCGGCCCTCTGCACGGCCGGCGCTCCGGGGGCAACCTCCTGCCACAGCGTCCGGACACGCTGCGGCGGAAAAGTCAGTGAAAGTGCGCCACAAGCTTTTGTGGCGCGCTTTCACTGACTTGTCAAAGGAGCGCTATTTTAGCGCTCCTTTCAGGGGCGGCAAAGGTGCGCTGCAGGATCGAGGCGTGGGGATGCCTTGGTCCCGCAGCGCACCTTTCCAGGGCGGCCCCATGCCGCTAGTCTGCTTAGGCCCTTTGTCTGAGGCTGAGAGTGTGCAACTTGCCCAAGATCACTCACTGGGTTTCCATGGCCAAACGGGTTCAAACCCTGGTTTCCAGAGTCATAGTCCAACATTCAAACCACTATTCCACACTGGCTCTTGTGTTTGACTATACCTTGGGCATACTGATTCAGATTGATGGGAAGCGTAATTTAATACACTGACCCACAAGAACCTCTCCTTGTCCCTGATAGTAAAAAATCCAATAGTAACAAAAGTAATGATGAGGAATTTGCTGTCCATTTGTAAACTCCCAAATCTTGTGCATGAGGTAGCAGCCTCGCTCTTCTTAATGGAGGAATTAATGTCAATTAATGCTAAAAATTGGGGGAACATCCACATTATAAATTATTTTTAAAAAGAAAGAAGGTGACAACATGTAAGAAAAACCAGGAACGCCATGTTTTGAATGAAATGTTGTCTGGATTCTCAGGAATGAATGAGGGGACACGTGGTATCATTGTCAGTGTAGACACCTACATGTAGAGTCATCTTCAGCAAGTTGCTTTAAACCTCTCTTTTCCATACTATATTAGGTGGTTTGGGCAAACAGTGAACGTGTTGGCTGTGGGACAGTCTTCTGTGAAACCCTCGAACTTCTGAATGACACCGACTTGCATTTGGTAGTCTGCAACTATGAGCCTCCGTAAGTTCCTTTCCTTTCCTTTCCTTTCCTTTCCTTTCCTTTCCTTTCCTTTCCTTTCCTTTCCTTTCCTTTCTTTTTGTGCTGAAGTTGGGAATGAGGAGCTATTCCAAACATTAAAGACCCAGTCATTTCCCAGATGAATCTACCTTTGATCAGGTCAAACTAATTATTTGTTTAGCATAGTAATGCTACCTACTGTAATGCTGCTGTAACAGAAGGAAAGTATTTCATCTCCTTCATGTCTCCTCATTCTAGAATCTCAGGGGCAAAATGGTCATAAACACACTATTAAGTATCTAGTGATCTTTGGCAGCTTGCTTGCCTCTGTTGTTGTTGCTGTGTGGCTTCAAGTCATTTCCAGTTTATGACAATGCTAAAGTGAACCTATCACAGGGATTTCTTGGCAAGATTTGTTGAGAGGGGAATTGTCTTTGCCTTTCTCAGAGGCTGAGAGAGTGTGACTTGCCCATGGTCACACAGTAGGTTTCCACAACTGAGTGGAGATTCAAACCCTGGTCTCCAAAGTCTTATTCCAAAACTCAAACCACTACACCACACCATGAGCTAATGCACATGCCTGGCCTCATTCAGCTATATCTGTGAAACAATTACTTTCTGGAAGAATTTTACTCAACAAGCAGCTCTTCTTCTCCAGGGAAATGCCCTACTCTCAAGGTGACCAGCCACCTCCTTTTCCAGGACATGTCCTACATTTCAAACTTCTGTCCAGGAGGAATTTCAAAATGTTCTCCATTTTGACCATGACTAAGAAGCATGGATTTATATTTATATTAGTGTTTTAAGCTTTTCTTTGGCCATGTCCTACATTTTCCTTCAGTGCCCTACATTTTGTGGTGCCTTGCCCTCCTTTGCAGTTATGACATCTGGTCACCATGCCTACTCTTCTAAGACACATGTGGGTTGTTTTAATTTCTAGGGGGAATGTAAAAGGATACAAACCTTACAAGGAAGGAGAGCCATGTTCCATGTGTCCAGATGGCTACTCATGTAAGGACTCTCTCTGTGGTAAGTGAATGGAACTAGAGATGTCAGTTCTTCTCATGCAAAAGCAGGTGAGACAGTGAGCACTTTATCTGCATTTCAGATTGCTGTTACCCCAATCACTATGGAATAAACTTATCATGGCTAAGAGGTGCAGATTATCTGGCCGTACAGCTAATTTCCAACTTGAGTGACTGCACAAATGACCCAAAAAATAAAAGCTTGTGTGAATACATTCTACTAAGGCAGGAAGAGACTCATGTTCTTCCAGTTTTGTTCAATAGTATTTATTTATTTTATTTATATTCCACCTTCTTCCTCACATGGGACCCAAGGTGGCTTACAGAAGCACTAAAACAAGAAAGTTCTAAAAACTTGATAGTAAAAAGTAATACATAATTATCATAATAAGATGCCATGATTTTTTAAAAGTGTAGAATCATATTAAAATATAAAAATAAATTTAAAAAAAATACAGTAAAACCCCTCCGAGTATCTTACACAGAATATGAGCAGCCATTGTGTGAATATTCATTGCAGAGTGACAACATCCAGTGATGACTTTCATATGTGAAACAAATCAAGCATTACAGACTGAACTTTTTCTAATTTTTTATACAAAGCAAAGGGAAATCCAAACATAGGAGATTATCAAATGGGAAAAGGATGTCCCTATCCCGACCTTTTCCTGTCCTTGTCCCATCCTTCCTGCGCAATCGCAGGAAGGACTTTTACATGACATCGTGCTTATCTGGACATTGTCCCATCTGGGAAGCGTGAGTGACAGCGATTGCACTAAAGCCTTTTATACGACGTTGATCCTGTCTCGTCATTGAATTGGAATTGTCCTGGCATTTTATATTAATGAGAGTTTGCATTAAAACAATTCCACTTCAATGACAGAATAATGACAGGATCAGTGCTATGTTATGAAAGGCTTTTGTGCAATTGCTGTCATGGGATTTTGCACGATTGCTGTCATGGGATAAAGATGGGAGAGGGATCACGACCTTGTCCTGTCCCTGTCTGATAATCTCCATAGTCAGGTTTAGGGAAGCCTAGGGAAATACTGGGTGAAATCCCATAGTTAGAAATGCTCAGAGGGAGGGGAGTTCATGGTCCATGGGAATTTCTTAAAGCTAAGATATTTAAGGCACAATTGCAAACAATTCTAAAAAGAAAGAAAAGTGGAAAGTGTCTAAAGAAACCAGGATGAGTGTTCAAAGAACTTTTCAGATGGGCTGGATTTAAAAGACACACGTATGAAAAACAGAAGAAGGGGATAACTACAAATGAATCAAATAGCCAATTCTTGTCAGAAAAGCTAAAACTCAGAATGAGATCAGGCTTACTAGGGAGGTTAAAAGTAATTTTAAAAGGAGGGTTTTTTTTTTTTTTGGCTATGTTTGAAGCAAGAAGAACAAGCAAATAAGGCCACTGCATAAAAAAGATGGTGAAATACTAGCAGGGGACAGAGAGAAATCTGACTATTTAATACCTTCTTTGCCTCAGTCTCTTCCCAAGAGGAAAACAATGCTCAGCTCAAACAGTTCACGTTCTGTTTCTTTTGGCATAAAAACAAAATAGTTAAAATATTTCCTTCATGGTTAAAATAAAATCAGTGGCAAGACTTTGTCACTGGCTGACTTTTAATGGTACTGTATCTTAACTGTCTGAATTTGGATATTTTATATTTTGGCTATGCCACTTACTAAGGCTGGGCTACAGATACTTTTGCATCTGTGACAAAAAAATTAAGTGGCAACCTGATGCAAGTTGTAAATAAATAAACAAAGTGATTGACAAATTAATGTCCTTTAAGAGCATCCAAAATCTGCTGCCCATGAGACAGTTACCTCACTCTGTCTCATAATAGGGCCAACCCTGTGATTAGCACAAAAATGTGGTTCATGAAAGCAAAATATCACTTTATTCTTCTGCATGACCTTCTGGAAGTAGGGTGTGTCTATGTGGGTGTGTGAGAGCTGATTTTGCTGCTAACCTCTTTGTTTTCCACCAGAATCCACTGCTGATGAGGAAGAAGCTACTGCATCCCCTGAACCCCCAGAACTGGGAACAACTGACAGCTGGAGTGACAGCCCAGCTCCTCAAGACACCACAACAGGTTCAGCACCAGATACACCAGAAAGTACACAAATTGGCATAGAAATAGGATCTGAAACCCCAATGGCTCAAGGGCCAACTGCTTCCCCAGAGTCAGCTTTACATTTGGACTTTACAGCATCTCCAGAGCTTCAGAGAGACTCAGATGGGACTGTTTCCTCTTTGGTGACTACAGGAGTCCTAGAGGACCTAACTGTCAGTCCTGGCTCCTTAGAAACAGAAACTCAGCAACCCACCTATTCAGAGATTCCTCCATCTGATGACTTAGCCAAACCCAAACCCACCGTGGAACAGTATCTTACTACCATTGCACCAATGCATTCTACCTCCCAAATACCCTCCATTACTAAACCACCATCCATCCCCAAACCGCCATCCATCCCCAAACCACCATCCATTCCCAAACCACCTTCCATTGCTAAGCCTCCTTCCTACCCTAAGCCTCCCTCTCACTTTAAGCCTCCCCCCATCTCTAAAAAACCTGCAAGCCATCGTTTGTCAGCTTATGCCAAAGCTATAAAGAGACAAAACAATGCTATTCAGTCCTCTGCAGATAAGGCAGCTTCAGTCTCTGTCTGCCTGCCCTGCCTTGGATGTAAACAGATTAGCCAACCTGAAGAAATTAAGGTTGCGCTTAAAGAGCTTACCTTCCGATATCCCTATGCTCCTTGTTTTTCCTCCCTTCCCCGGTGGCAGAGGCATAGCAAGTGCAGCTGGTGTGGGCACACTTGGGGAAATGCACTTAGGAAAGCTAGGCCTTACTGGCTCAACGCTTTATAGCACTGTATATAATTAAAGGTATTTAGAGAGCCAGTGTGGCATAGTGGTTTGAATGCTGGACTGTGACTCTGAAGACCAGGGTTCAATACCCCACTTGGCCATGAAGCCCACTGGGTGACCTTGGGCAAGTCAAATGCTCTCATCCTCAGGAAAAGGCAATGGCAAGGCTCCTCTGAACAAATCTTGTCAAGAAAACCCCATGATATGGCCTTAGGGTCACCATTGGTTCAGAAATGACTTGAAGGTACACAACAACAGCAATAAATACAGCCCTTCATCTTTGGTGCATACATGTGCATTTGGTGCCTGCATGTGCATGTGCAGGCATGTCTGTTCTCCTTTTTGCACTTTTCTGAGGGTGACAGTCTGCTGAGAATAGCAGTATTGCATGTCTATGGGTCTGAACACTTGGTAGACTGTGGTTCAGACATTATAAAAACAATGGGGCTTTCAATGATGCTGGGGGGTGGGTGCGATTGGGGTGATGTGGTTTCTTTTTACAGACCTCATGTTTTTCCACAGTCAGGAATGTGGCGCATGTCAGATTTATTTTTCTACCTTCCTTTTGCACAAGCTTTTCTGGGGTCAGTGTGTAGTATGACCAGACCCCAGGCATATGACTGTCATGGCACCACACACCACCAAGGGATTCAACTGTGATGTGTGGATATAGCCGTGTTAGTGATGTGTGGAAGTTTTCATAATTATCCAGTTACTCCATATCCCTTCTATCTAAGTGCCTCTGGCCATATTTATTTGTAGGATTATGTCTGCATATAACTCCTCTGTCTCCTTTTCTGCCTGTGTGTTGGGAACAAGAAAGTCCACACCTGAACTGCATGCGGTTTCTGCTTGTCAACTCATTCCTTTTCCAAATTGCCACAGACCATAAGAACCTGAATCTTGCAAGCAGAACAAATTATATAGGATATGTAAACACATAAATCTTCAGTTTATTCCAAATGGCAGGTTTGTGTTCCCCCCCCCCTTGGTAACAACTTTTTGGCCCAGAATATAAAGTTGTAGGTTTATAAGATATGGCCTACTGGTTATGTCCAGTAGAAATGTCCCACAGGCTGAGGCAGCCTGTTTTCATAAGGGTGGAGGCAGAGAAAGTGAATGTCTGATTAGGGAGTCTGATGTGATTCTCTTTAGAAACGTAGTATATAAGAGCTACATCTGTCAATAAATAAATCATGATGTGCATGAGGCTCCAATATTTGTGAATGAGAAAGAATTATATCTGTGTTGGGCTGTTAGATGCACTGGGTTCTTTCTCCTCCTTATCAGAAGTCTAATTGTCACAATTATTTAGATCACACAATGCTGTTAGTGATCTGTTGGCCCATTCTCCAATTGCCTATCTAAAGAGCTGGCCCTCTTACATCATCACTGATCCACTAACACAATCTCTTGATCCTTCAGAGGGTTTGTTTGCATTGTCCTGCATTCACAGTAGAGAAATGGATTAGATTAGATCTCTCTCATATGCATCTTTACTTGTGTGAAGATGTCTTGCATGACAGACACTTCCTTGTTTCCATTGTATTGGATCTTCATGGAACCGATACAGGTCCATTTCTCTTCAGCTGATACTTGATTTCTCATCTTCTTCTGTGTTTTTTTTTAAAATTAAAGCAGGTGGCAGTGATACTGAAGATCTGCTGATGGATCCACCCAGGAAAGATTATGAGCAGCCTACTTGTTCCAACTGTAATTCTTTCTTGTCGTTCTCCTCTCTTTCCTTGTTGACCATTCCCATTCTGTGTTGTCTTCTCTTCTGAAGGCTGCTACATAATTTGTTCCTAGTTTTCATTCTGCTGTGATGCCAGTGGTTTGTTTCATCACCCTGCTGTTTGGAAGTATAAAAATATAAGTAAAATTAAGAGTTTAGTCTCTTGCAAGCTACCTTGCTTACCCTAACTATAATGGCAATCCTGGCTTGATTATAAACATTGGACGTTTGCTCACACCAGGACAGGCTGTTTAGTTCAGTTTTGTGCTTCCTGATTTCCAAAGGGTGCGCAAGGTTGCACGCAGAGGTCTCTCCCAATGTCTGGAAAAGTTACTTGTTCAGACTACAGCTCCTACAGTGTCCAGTCAGCATCACCATTAGGTAATTTTTAGAGATTTATTTCAAGCAAGTATCTTTGCTGACCTCTGGTCTTTCCTCAGACTCCCTACCCATTTTATTTTTAATCTGGAGATACCAGGGATTGAACCATGGACTCTTCTGCATACACAGCATGTGCTGTACCACTGAAATGTGGACCCTCTCAATAAACTCCCTCATGGAGAAGTCATTGCTACAGAGCACTCACTTCTTAACATCTATGCTCCATGTATGTCAATAGGTGTGTGTGTGTGTGTGTGTGTGTATGCATATGTATATAAAAAAACTGGACTCTGTTGTTTCAGGCTGATGCACACTGCCATTTCCCTGTGTTGTTATTATTTGGCAAAATGATTCTGTGCAAGAGTTCTTCCTCAATTATTGTTGAATTTCTTTATTAGTGCTGTGCCCACTGAAGAGCACAAGAAGTCTGCTTGATAGCTAACTACTGGCATCTCAGCCAAGTGTGCAAACAGGCTTTCAGTTTATCTAAATGATTTGACGATGCACTAAAATGTTGGAGGTTTTACCTGGAAGTATGTCCCACTGATTTCAATGAAACTTATTTCCCAGAGCTTGTAAAAGCTAGTTTTTGGTCTACAGTGCCCACAACCCGAAGCCAATAAGGCTTGGAGCCATGCTCACTGGAGGAATTCTGGGTGCTATAGGATTATTTTTAGAGATCTTTCCCAAGCTTCATTATATTCAGTTTACTGGGTTTCAAACTGGAACTTCATACTGTGTATCCTGGTCTCCTTCATTGCAATGGCAAGTACAGCTGCTTATCCTATCATAGCAGCAAGAGGATTCTTTGCTGGGCCACCTGACCTACACTTTTGCCTTCTATTAGAAAGTCCATTGAAGAGAGACTGCTAGGAAATAAGAAGTTGGTTCAGTGGCACCGACAAAATTGTAGTTGCTGAAACAATATAGTTGCCTTCTCTTGTGTTCCTAAGCCAGATGCCTTCTCATCGTAACCTGTTGATATTTTTCCTTTGCCACTGGTATCTCAGGACCAGCCTGTTCTGGTGCTCCAATGCAATTGCCTGAAATGGCTGGCAACACTATGCACTGTGCAGATGCTGTCCTCATTCTATCCCATTCTCTACACAAGCAGCCCATTCACACTATCAAATTGCAACACCATGATCCCACTTTAACTGCCATGGTTCTGTCCTGTGGAAACCTGGGATTAGCAATTTAGGAAGGAGCATTTTGAATTCTCAGTCAGAGGGCTCCAGTGTCTCACCAAACTACAAACCCAAGGAATCCATAAGATGGAATTCTAGTAGCTAAACTGGAATAAGAATGCTATAATTGTGTAGTGTGATAGGGTTCCAGGTTTGCCAGTGCAGTTGGACCCAAGGTTACTTCATGACAACAATTTTGATTCTTTCCTATAGTTTTACAGTTAGTAGTCACTGCTGCTTGGAAAGGTTATAGGACTACAGTTCTAGAAATCCCCAGCCAGCATGATTAGTGACCATTCTAGTTTGGGGATTCTGGGACATATAGTTCAAACATGTACTGCTTCCAAGTTTTGTTCTACCTAGACAGCAATAAGCTACTCAGTGTCTATGCAATGCTAATCTTTTCAGTGCATCTTAAGAAAGCCTATTAATGACTCAGTGCAAATTATTTCATGGAATGACAATTCTATTCCATGTCAGGAATTCTATTCTATGCCAGTGCTGTTCTTCAGCTTTGCCTTACCTGTTACATCCATCGTTTCCATCCTATTCCCATCCAGCAGGGGGGAAAAATAATATTGTCGGTCTGTAGAACTACAAAACCACTTTTGAGTATTTCTTGCCTAAGAAAAACCTATGAAATTCAGGAGGTCATCATATGTTGACAGGCAACTTGGAGGCACACACACACACACACACACACAAAGTACTGTGTGGTGTGATTTGCAGCATTTTTATATAAATCTCTCTAATTTTGGAAATATTTAAAATAAGTCAACAATTACACAGAATGCACAAAATGCTCATGAAAAGGTGAGAAATGTTCTTCAGAGGGCGAAACCAGATAGAACTGGTTTTACTCTTATGAAAAATAACGACCAAATTGCTGGGCAATTAGGTCAATTGGTATATCGCAATCAGGAATCTTTTCTCACTATATTGCTGGTGGATTTGTGCATTGTACTATTCCAGGCATGGTGTGTTAATCTCATGACAAACCTCAGCTGGTCCAGCGAAGATCCAGTTGAAGGTGCCACTTGAATCTCATATCACTAAATGTGTTGTTGTTGACAGAGTTGTGGAGAAGGGGTAGCATTTTTAATGTACAATGAATTAGCATTGTAAAGCATGTTTTTTTAATGCACATGGAAAGTGCTGCTAATAATAAAAGCTATTTCAAAAGCCATTGGTCTGGAAAATGAATATTTTTTTTAAAAAAATGAATTTCTGGTAGATCCCAGGGTGTGTGTTTCTGTGGCAAGATTTTGAAAGGGTGGAGAAAATGAAGATGATTTACTCTAAGGCAGTTCACATGAAGTAGCTACTTGAAATGCTGATGGGGTGGTCAACGTAGGATGAAATCTCAGGCATGTCTAAACTGCAGCTGTTGGGCAGGGCATTCTAAAACATTCTGCAAATAAATGTTGGAACACCCAGCAGCTGCAGTTTATCCATGCCTAAGATCTCATCCTACTCTGGCTCATCCCCATCATTACTCTTTCCCCATCCTCAGTGCAGATGGTGGCAATGGAGAAGATCCATAAAGGCTATGTGCTTTCAGTCATGATTTGGCCCTGGTAAAAGGTACATATTTCAGGTAGCTAAGCAGAAAATTAGTCCCACTTCTTATATTCCCAATGGTTCATGCCAAGAGTACAGGAAGTGCCTAAGAATCTGCCAACTGTGAAATAAAAGGGTTATGATGCTACAGCGTGATTACAGTGTAATGCTACTCTCAAAACAGATCAACACTCCAGGCTTATATTTGCTTTATTTTCTATCATGAACTGTCAGAGCT